TATGTAATTTATCAAAAAGAAATACAAATGAAACAATAGCTGGGGTTAGGCCTAAACATTTTTTTCAAAAAAGGAGGAGGCAGGACATTACTATCGAACTATTTTTTTTTCCCATGATGGCTGCCATGCTAATTATACTAGCTGGCAAGGCCTATTTAGTTAGATATATTGATGCAATGTATGACAAAAACAAATGATTATTTTGTATCACTTTTGGAGTTATTTAAACAAAATGTATATCACAGGCTTTTTTTTGGGGGGGGGGGGTCGGCTTTTTTCTGAATAGTAAAAAGTAAAATAAAAAAAAGGAGGCGGTCGGGGACGAGAAATACTACGTTACCATTTTTTTTTGCCTAAAAAAGAATATATGTCATACAAATATTTTAACTATATTCATTGCATTAGCTTGTACAGCCAACACCGATAATTATATGGATAAGATCTATCAAGCGGTCACAAAAACGAATGAAAAATTGCATGAGAAAAATTTGTCTGAAATATTTTTCATAAACACGGACGCGTGCAAAATATCTTTTGCATTCAAATTATTTGTTTTTTTCTAAGTTAATCAATTAACTTCATTTTGAAATTCGCTTTTGTTTACAACTATTCTAAATCATTACGAGGTATTGGAGTTGAAGGGGGCGCAACAAAGAAAAAGAAAGTGGGTGCAATAAATGCAAACAAAAATTGAGAGGAAGATAAAGGGCAGAAAAGGAATAAAAGTCATAAACCTTAAACAGCAATCCAACCCTTTGTAACAAGTTCATTTGTGTGAAAGCAGAACAATAAGATAAACAGAATGGCGAAAGAAATGAATCGGACAATAATAGCCTAAAGAAAGCTATAAAATGATTAAAATATGAGATCACTAAGTCTATGCGAATCTCAAATTGGCTGTTTGGCCATTGGATTGTGTCGTAGTCACGGATAACTCTCCCGCTTGTCGTGTACACAAATATCATTAATTTATATTTTTCTCCTCGAAGTTTGCTCATACCTGTGTTTGGGGTGAGTAGTGCGCATGCGCGACTTGTCGGTGCCCTGCGCTGCATTTCCTGCATTAATTTTGTTAGCGCTGAAGCGAGGAGAGTCACGTGACGAAAATCCAGTATTTCACCGAAGTTTGCTTTTCATGGTCCATGCTTTACATGTAGCAAAAATTGGTGAAACTTCGGCGGGCATTTAAAAAAAAACATACTCCAGATGTGGGTTTTTCGATTTCGATTTTTGTTTTTGTCGTGTTTGCGAAACACCGTAATGTGAGAAAAACCGACATTTTTGGGGTTGCAGGGTAAATGCAGCTAAAATTATTAGCATTCTAAAGGGTCAGAAAATTTACAATTCCCGTTGCTTTGCTCCTTATTGGAACTCAATATATTGCAGTGTATAAAAAAGCAAGAAACAAAAATTGGCATTTGAGGACGTTCAGCATTTGAAAGAAATCTTAACTTTCAGTTACCTCGCTAAATTCTTAATTGAATACTGTATATTCCTCCAGAGAGTTTGTTAATTTTAAGCTCCATTTGAAGAAGAAGTGATAGTATATCATTTATCAATGTTTTATAATTCAGAAATCGACCGCTTTGTTACATTCATATGCATAGTCCTATACTAGCCATGGGAGGGGGGGGGGGTAGCTCCCCGAATATTTTTTAGAGATCCAATTTGTCCATGATTCTAATTTCATGGATACAGTGAATCGTTTGGGGGGAAAGGTCGTCTTGAACAAATACGTCCGGACAAGTGCTCATGGACTTTAATTCACAGGCATACGCTCCCAGAAAACTGTCCATAAACAATTCACCTCTGGCAAACTACTCTTCGGAGTTAGAAAATTTTACCCAGAGAGCTAACCCCGGTCAAAAACGAACTCAATTTAGCCGCAAGTAGTTGTCCTGGGGTTTATAATAATAATTGAGGTAGGCCTATATTTATGTAGGATAGTTATCCGGGAGTATATTGTCCTAGGGGTTACTTGTCCTAGGGATAGTTGTCCGGGGTGAAAATGTGTTGTTTAGGGGGGGGGGGTGGGGCGGCCGGCGGGGTGCACGGATATTAACCTGAAAGTAACTACAGACGGGTACGGATAGAAGTCAGTGTGCCGATAAAATAACAGTGGACGTTTCCAAAAATTCTAAACAATAGGTTGATCAATTTCCTACAAATGAATTTACGTGAAACGAAATTCTGACTCTTCTGAGTATTCTCCATAAAATCACTCCAACTTTTTCGTATGTCAGCCTCATAAATTCGTAGGCTATCAGTATTGTACTAACGATACAGAAAGCAACTGGTACTATATTCATGATCACGTAAAGAGCTAGTTATCTACTGCACATAGCTGTGGCGCAAAACTGATTCCGGATTACAATACTATGCTACATGTATAACACTGAAGATATAAACCAAAATTGATTACCTTTCATTTCAGTTGTGTATTCCAATATATATGTCTCCAGTTTATGTTGGTTAAGGAATGAAGAGAGTGATATGTAGCTTTATAAATATGGATAAATATCAACGAATCGCAACGCAAAGTATCCTAAACACATGCATAACATGTAATACGTGGCGATGTAGTTTGTACGCTCGTGAATTTGGACTTTGGTCTTTGGAAACAGAAAGCCAAAAATAAAAGGAAATGTGACAATGATATCATCACCAGTGGCGAAATGAGCAAAAACGTTGGGGGGGGGGGGGGGCGGGCTGAACGAAAATCCGCATCACCATTGGCCTCTTACATGTTCGTGCAGGCCCTGCGGGACGTTTTGTATTGTCGGGGGGGGGGGAGCTATATATTTACGATCAGGTAGAGCGTAGCAAGCGAAGCGAGTGGAGCGTATATTGGCGTGGGGTCCAGGGGTATTACGGTCAGGTGAGCATTCAGGGGTCCGCCTTAGGGCCACTAATGGGGTCCAGGGGGCAGAGCCCCCGGAAGCGTAGGGGATTTAGGCATTTAATTACGGTACGTGAGATGAGCATATTTTGATACCTTATATGTGACACTGGCAGGTCACTAATATTGTCGTGGGATCCAGGGGGCGAAGCTCTTCCCGAAATTTTAAAAATTGACTGATCGACATTTCGTTCCGTTGGGGGGGGGGGGGGGGGGGTTAGGTCACCTTTTTAGGTCACCCATAGCTTTTTTTAATAATTTTTTAAAATTTTTGTTATCATAATGAAAACAAAATTTAAAAAATGAAGGGGGGTTTGACCCCCCCCCCCCCCCTGTCCTCCCCCATCAACAGGCCAGTGATCATTATATGCCATCGGACTCATGGAAATTTGATATTTAGATGCAATCCTTGAAATTCACTTTTTTTTGGGGGGGGGGGGACATATTTTGGATACTTCCGTATTGAGTGGTAATCCACTAAAAGCTATGGAATCCAATCTTGAAACGGTTATTCGATCTCACTTCAAATCCAAATATAACTACTAAAATGTCGATTTATGCTCATCGCATTAAAAGAATATTATCATCCCAAAATCATTGACGTTTATGACGTGTTTTTGTTGAAACTTTTGAGATAACAAATTTCCACCACCTATAGGCCTATTTGACGAAGGGACACAGTGCGCCGTGGTTTTTACGATTTCCCCCCAAATTACCATTTTCTTTAATGGGTAGTGTCCTTCTCATCTGTTGTTAGTACCATTTACTTATGTCTACCTATCATGCTCCTTTGTTTTATTCATCACACTGTAGACCAATGGAGTCTAGGGTAGGAGAGTCCAAAGGTCCATTTAAACTACCGAAGTGTGTCAAATCAAAATGGAGAGATGTGATGAGAGATGTTTGTTGAATAACGAAATAACTGAAGAGGTTCATCTGGTTGGAGTTGAAACTTGAAAATCATTGTTTTCTTCATAACCAGTGGAAACCTCCTTTTTTGGATAAGCCTTCCCTTGTTGAGCTGCAAGCTTCTGTCGTGGCTGGCGCTGTTGCTGATGCAGCAAGACGATGTGATAGAATTAAACTCTCAGAAAGTGACAAAGAAATAAACTCACATACTGAACATAGAGTTGACTACGGTCCCATTCTACTTCCTCGTCAAACTGCATCAACAGCAGCGCCATCTACGACATGGGTCTTAAGAAGCTTGCTACACAGCAAGGGAAAGCTTACCAAAAACAGATAATTTTCCACTGAGTGTGAAGAGAGCACTTCATTTTCTTTTTATTCACTCTTTTATACAGGTGCTCCTTCCACCCCCCCCCAAAAAAAAATAACAAACATTTTTGTTCAGTGCTCCTTCCTTCGTTTAATAACGCTCCGCCGCTTCAGCCTAAGTTCTGAACTCTAAATCGGTTACAAAATATACCATTTTGTCAATCGCCGCTAGTTATTTTATTTTTTATTGATGAAATCTGCTATCACATAATCATGGATTGAACTTTATTATGTTCTATATTTCAGTCATACAATGGCAACCTCCAAGCTTCAAGGAAGGGGCGATTCATCCCGTAACATAGACAGAAGCGACAATGAAGAGAGATACGAGGTAAGAAATGAGAGGTGTCAAAATTCGAAGGATTGGAGAGCGGAAAAGGAAAATAATCCTACCAGCTTCCGAGGGTTTGATTTTTTTTTTTTTTTTTTTTTTGGGGGGGGGGGGCGGAGGGAGGGGAAGAAGCAATTTTTTTATTCGGGAATATTTGGGAATCCCCTCAGCACTCTTAGACTCTATAGATGAGTTATGGGGGTGGGTTCGCAAACATTTGTATGGAGGGAATCGTTTAGGTGGAAATATCCTCGGAAAACCTCTCTACTTTATTGTAAACAATTGGGGGGGGGGGAGGGGTATCTTATTCCCATTGTAAGGCTTTCATATTATTAAAATTTCCAAAACTTTGTATGACCTTTAATAATTGTATAAAGTTAGAGCAGTTGAATACAATGCACCAACTGGATAACTAGATGAAGTTTAACTCTTGGGTTATATACAGTGTACCTATATATATACGTATACACAAATCGTTATCAAAATCTAATCATGGAAGGAGATCCACCAGGAGTGCTACCCATTAGTGTCCAGCCAACTGACGAAAGATTGGGACTGGACACTGCTCCAGAAGAAATGATGGAGATTGTAAGCACAGCTTCATTTTCCTATGGCTACATGCATGTTTGCAGGAATCGTACATGTAAAAAAAAACACTTATTATTCTAGGAGTCTGCTATCATAGTCATGAATCGTTAAATAATCAATAATTATTTGTGAAGTATTACCGTGACAGACAAGTATTATAAATGTATTTTCGTTTAATGATCTAAAAGGATTGTTGCTTCTGCTAATTGATTAAGTCATTCGATTAGTGGAGGGGTCTCAAGCCCCAGCCCTAAATAATTTTGGAACCTTTGAAATATTATGACATGCATCGATCTCGATGATAATGTCATAATATAAATAACATAAATATATATACTGTTATAAACCTTTGTATACAACAATCATAATCAAAATATAATATTTTTCTCTATCGCTTCTGAAGGAAGGAGATACACCAGAAGTACAACCCATTAGTGTCCAACCCACTGACGAAAGATTGGGACTGGACACTGCTCCAGAAGAAATGATGGAGATTGTAAGCACAGCTTCATTTTCCTATGGCTACTGTATACATGCATGTTTGCAGGAATCGTAAATGTAAAAAAAACACTAATTATTCTAGGAGTCTGCTATCATAGTAATGAATTGTTAATAATCAATAATTATCTGTGAAGTATTGCCATGACAGACAAGGATTATAAATGTATTTTCGTTTAATGATCTAAAAGGATTGTTGCTTCTGCTAATTAATGAAGTCATTCGATTAGTGGAGGGGTCTCTAGCCCCAGCCCTAAATAATATTGGAAACTATTGGAAATATTATAATGACATGCATCGATCTCGATGATAATGTCATAATATAAAAAACATAAATATATATCCTGTTATAAACCTTTGTATACAACAATCATAATCAAAATATAATATTTTTCTCTATCGCTTCTGAAGGAAGGAGATACACCAGAAGTACAACCCATTAGTGTCCAACCCACTGACGAAAGATTGGGACTGGACACTGCTCCAGAAGAAATGATGGAGATTGTAAGCACAGCTTCATTTTCCTATGGCTACTGTATACATGCATGTTTGCAGGAATCGTAAATGTAAAAAAAAACACTAATTATTCTAGGAGTCTGCTATCATAGTAATGAATTGTTAATAATCAATAATTATCTGTGAAGTATTGCCATGACAGACAAGGATTATAAATGTATTTTCGTTTAATGATCTAAAAGGATTGTTGCTTCTGCTAATTAATGAAGTCATTCGATTAGTGGAGGGGTCTCTAGCCCCAGCCCTAAATAATATTGGAAACTATTGGAAATATTATAATGACATGCATCGATCTCGATGATAATGTCATAATATAAATAACATAAATATATATACTGTTATAAACCTTTGTATACAACAATCATAATCAAAATCTAATATTTTTCTCTATCGCTTCTGAAGGATGGAGATACACAAGAAGTGCTACCCATTAGTGTCCAACCCACTGACGAAAGATTGGGACTGGACACTGCTCCAGAAGAAATGATGGAGATTGTAAGCACAGCTTCATTTTCCTATGGCTACATGCATGTTTGCAGGAATCGTACATGTAAAAAAAAAAAAAAAAAAAAATTCTAGGAGTCTGCTATCATAGTAATGAATCGTTAATTAATCAATAATTATTTGTGAAATATTACCGTGACAGACAAGTATTATAAATGTATTTTTGTTTAATGATTTAAAAGGATTGTTGCTTCTGCTAACTGATTAAGTCATTCGATTAGTGGAGGGGTCTCAAGCCCCAGCCCTAAATAATATTGGAACCATTGAAATATTATTATGACATGCATCAATCTCGATGAAAATGTCATATATAAATAACATAAACATATATACTGTTATAAATCTTTGTATACAAAAATCGTAATAAAAATATAATATATTTCTTTATCTTTCTGAAGGAAATAGATACACCAGAAGTGCTTCCCATGGGTGTTCAACCCACTGATGAAATATTGGAACTGGACACTGATCCAGAAACCCCGGGGTCAGACAGACCTGATGAAGAAATGATGGAGATTGTAAGCACAGCTTCATTTTCCTATGGCTACATGCATGTTTGCAGGAATCGTACATGTAAAAAAAAACACTTATTATTCTAGGAGTCTGCTATCATAGTCATGAATCGTTAAATAATCAATAATTATTTGTGAAGTATTACCGTGACAGACAAGTATTATAAATGTATTTTCGTTTAATGATCTAAAAGGATTGTTGCTTCTGCTAATTGATTAAGTCATTCGATTAGTGGAGGGGTCTCAAGCCCCAGCCCTAAATAATTTTGGAACCTTTGAAATATTATGACATGCATCGATCTCGATGATAATGTCATAATATAAATAACATAAATATATATACTGTTATAAACCTTTGTATACAACAATCATAATCAAAATATAATATTTTTCTCTATCGCTTCTGAAGGAAGGAGATACACCAGAAGTACAACCCATTAGTGTCCAACCCACTGACGAAAGATTGGGACTGGACACTGCTCCAGAAGAAATGATGGAGATTGTAAGCACAGCTTCATTTTCCTATGGCTACTGTATACATGCATGTTTGCAGGAATCGTAAATGTAAAAAAAACACTAATTATTCTAGGAGTCTGCTATCATAGTAATGAATTGTTAATAATCAATAATTATCTGTGAAGTATTGCCATGACAGACAAGGATTATAAATGTATTTTCGTTTAATGATCTAAAAGGATTGTTGCTTCTGCTAATTAATGAAGTCATTCGATTAGTGGAGGGGTCTCTAGCCCCAGCCCTAAATAATATTGGAAACTATTGGAAATATTATAATGACATGCATCGATCTCGATGATAATGTCATAATATAAAAAACATAAATATATATCCTGTTATAAACCTTTGTATACAACAATCATAATCAAAATATAATATTTTTCTCTATCGCTTCTGAAGGAAGGAGATACACCAGAAGTACAACCCATTAGTGTCCAACCCACTGACGAAAGATTGGGACTGGACACTGCTCCAGAAGAAATGATGGAGATTGTAAGCACAGCTTCATTTTCCTATGGCTACTGTATACATGCATGTTTGCAGGAATCGTAAATGTAAAAAAAAAACACTAATTATTCTAGGAGTCTGCTATCATAGTAATGAATTGTTAATAATCAATAATTATCTGTGAAGTATTGCCATGACAGACAAGGATTATAAATGTATTTTCGTTTAATGATCTAAAAGGATTGTTGCTTCTGCTAATTAATGAAGTCATTCGATTAGTGGAGGGGTCTCTAGCCCCAGCCCTAAATAATATTGGAAACTATTGGAAATATTATAATGACATGCATCGATCTCGATGATAATGTCATAATATAAATAACATAAATATATATACTGTTATAAACCTTTGTATACAACAATCATAATCAAAATCTAATATTTTTCTCTATCGCTTCTGAAGGATGGAGATACACAAGAAGTGCTACCCATTAGTGTCCAACCCACTGACGAAAGATTGGGACTGGACACTGCTCCAGAAGAAATGATGGAGATTGTAAGCACAGCTTCATTTTCCTATGGCTACTGTATACATGCATGTTTGCAGGAATCGTAAATGTAAAAAAAAAACACTAATTATTCTAGGAGTCTGCTATCATAGTAATGAATTGTTAATAATCAATAATTATCTGTGAAGTATTGCCATGACAGACAAGGATTATAAATGTATTTTCGTTTAATGATCTAAAAGGATTGTTGCTTCTGCTAATTAATGAAGTCATTCGATTAGTGGAGGGGTCTCTAGCCCCAGCCCTAAATAATATTGGAAACTATTGGAAATATTATAATGACATGCATCGATCTCGATGATAATGTCATAATATAAATAACATAAATATATATACTGTTATAAACCTTTGTATACAACAATCATAATCAAAATCTAATATTTTTCTCTATCGCTTCTGAAGGATGGAGATACACAAGAAGTGCTACCCATTAGTGTCCAACCCACTGACGAAAGATTGGGACTGGACACTGCTCCAGAAGAAATGATGGAGACTGTAAGCACAGCTTCATTTTCCTATGGCTACTGTATACATGCATGTTTGCAGGAATCGTACATGTAAAAAAAAACACTAATTATGCTAGGAGTCTGCTATCATAGTAATGAATTGTCAATAATCAATAATTATCTGTGAAGTATTGCCATGACAGACAAGGATTATAAATGTATTTTCGTTTAATGATCTAAAAGGATTGTTGCTTCTGCTAATTAATGAAGTCATTCGATTAGTGGAGGGGTCTCTAGCCCCAGCCCTAAATAATATTGGAAACTATTGGAAATATTATAATGACATGCATCGATCTCGATGATAATGTCATAATATAAATAACATAAATATATATACTGTTATAAACCTTTGTATACAACAATCATAATCAAAATCTAATATTTTTCTCTATCGCTTCTGAAGGATGGAGATACACAAGAAGTGCTACCCATTAGTGTCCAACCCACTGACGAAAGATTGGGACTGGACACTGCTCCAGAAGAAATGATGGAGACTGTAAGCACAGCTTCATTTTCCTATGGCTACTGTATACATGCATGTTTGCAGGAATCGTACATGTAAAAAAAAACACTAATTATGCTAGGAGTCTGCTATCATAGTAATGAATTGTCAATAATCAATAATTATCTGTGAATTATTGCCATGACAGACAAGGATTATAAATGTATTTTCGTTTAATGATCTAAAAGGATTGTTGCTTCTGCTAATTAATGAAGTCATTCGATTAGTGGAGGGGTCTCAAGCCCCAGCCCTAAATAATTTTGGAACCTTTGAAATATTATGACATGCATCGATCTCGATGATAATGTCATAATATAAAAAACATAAATATATATACTGTTATAAACCTTTGTATACAACAATCATAATCAAAATATAATATTTTTCTCTATCGCTTCTGAAGGAAGGAGATACACCAGAAGTACAACCCATTAGTGTCCAACCCACTGACGAAAGATTGGGACTGGACACTGCTCCAGAAGAAATGATGGAGATTGTAAGCACAGCTTCATTTTCCTATGGCTACTGTATACATGCATGTTTGCAGGAATCGTAAATGTAAAAAAAAACACTAATTATTCTAGGAGTCTGCTATCATAGTAATGAATTGTTAATAATCAATAATTATCTGTGAAGTATTGCCATGACAGACAAGGATTATAAATGTATTTTCGTTTAATGATCTAAAAGGATTGTTGCTTCTGCTAATTAATGAAGTCATTCGATTAGTGGAGGGGTCTCTAGCCCCAGCCCTAAATAATATTGGAAACTATTGGAAATATTATAATGACATGCATCGATCTCGATGTACATAAATATATATACTGTTATAAACCTTTGTATACAACAATCATAATCAAAATCTAATATTTTTCTCTATCGCTTCTGAAGGATGGAGATACACAAGAAGTGCTACCCATTAGTGTCCAACCCACTGACGAAAGATTGGGACTGGACACTGCTCCAGAAGAAATGATGGAGACTGTAAGCACAGCTTCATTTTCCTATGGCTACTGTATACATGCATGTTTGCAGGAATCGTACATGTAAAAAAAAACACTAATTATGCTAGGAGTCTGCTATCATAGTAATGAATTGTCAATAATCAATAATTATCTGTGAAGTATTGCCATGACAGACAAGGATTATAAATGTATTTTCGTTTAATGATCTAAAAGGATTGTTGCTTCTGCTAATTAATGAAGTCATTCGATTAGTGGAGGGGTCTCTAGCCCCAGCCCTAAATAATATTGGAAACTATTGGAAATATTATAATGACATGCATCGATCTCGATGATAATGTCATAATATAAATAACATAAATATATATACTGTTATAAACCTTTGTATACAACAATCATAATCAAAATCTAATATTTTTCTCTATCGCTTCTGAAGGATGGAGATACACAAGAAGTGCTACCCATTAGTGTCCAACCCACTGACGAAAGATTGGGACTGGACACTGCTCCAGAAGAAATGATGGAGACTGTAAGCACAGCTTTATTTTCCTATGGCTACTGTATACATGCATGTTTGCAGGAATCGTACATGTAAAAAAAAACACTAATTATGCTAGGAGTCTGCTATCATAGTAATGAATTGTCAATAATCAATAATTATCTGTGAATTATTGCCATGACAGACAAGGATTATAAATGTATTTTCGTTTAATGATCTAAAAGGATTGTTGCTTCTGCTAATTAATGAAGTCATTCGATTAGTGGAGGGGTCTCAAGCCCCAGCCCTAAATAATTTTGGAACCTTTGAAATATTATGACATGCATCGATCTCGATGATAATGTCATAATATAAAAAACATAAATATATATACTGTTATAAACCTTTGTATACAACAATCATAATCAAAATATAATATTTTTCTCTATCGCTTCTGAAGGAAGGAGATACACCAGAAGTACAACCCATTAGTGTCCAACCCACTGACGAAAGATTGGGACTGGACACTGCTCCAGAAGAAATGATGGAGATTGTAAGCACAGCTTCATTTTCCTATGGCTACTGTATACATGCATGTTTGCAGGAATCGTAAATGTAAAAAAAAACACTAATTATTCTAGGAGTCTGCTATCATAGTAATGAATTGTTAATAATCAATAATTATCTGTGAAGTATTGCCATGACAGACAAGGATTATAAATGTATTTTCGTTTAATGATCTAAAAGGATTGTTGCTTCTGCTAATTAATGAAGTCATTCGATTAGTGGAGGGGTCTCTAGCCCCAGCCCTAAATAATATTGGAAACTATTGGAAATATTATAATGACATGCATCGATCTCGATGTACATAAATATATATACTGTTATAAACCTTTGTATACAACAATCATAATCAAAATCTAATATTTTTCTCTATCGCTTCTGAAGGATGGAGATACACAAGAAGTGCTACCCATTAGTGTCCAACCCACTGACGAAAGATTGGGACTGGACACTGCTCCAGAAGAAATGATGGAGACTGTAAGCACAGCTTCATTTTCCTATGGCTACTGTATACATGCATGTTTGCAGGAATCGTACATGTAAAAAAAAACACTAATTATGCTAGGAGTCTGCTATCATAGTAATGAATTGTCAACAATCAATAATTATCTGTGAAGTATTACCGTGACAGACAAGGATTATAAATGTATTTTCGTTTAATGATCTAAAAGGATTGTTGCTTCTGCTAATTGATTAAGTCATTCGATTAGTGGAGGGGTCTCTAGCCCCAGCCCTAAATAATATTGGAAACTTTGAAATATTATAATGATATGCATCGATCTCGATGATAATGTCATATAATATAAATAACATAAACATATATATTGTTATAAACCTTTGTTCACAAAAATAATAATACAAATTTAATATTTTTCTCTATCGTTTCTGAAGGAAGGAGATACACCAGAAGTACTACCCATGGGTGTCGAACCAACCGATGAGAGATTGGGACTGGACACTGCTCCAGAAATTCCAGGGTCGGACAGACCGGATGAAGAAATGATGGAGATTGTAAGCACGGCTTCATTTTCCTATGACTATGTTTGCAAGAATCGTTCATGTGAAAACGTTGATGGTGGTGGGTGGTTATTGATAATTTTGTTCAGGGATGTTCAAAGCTAGACTTTGAGCCACAAGGGCTTCAGGATAAGATTAGCCTATTTATTAACACATTATTGATAGCGATTTAAATTTTTAAAAGAGGAAAACATGAAAACTAAATGGTTCATATGAATGTTTTATAATTCACCTCTTTTTGTCCCCTTTCTTTTTTGTTCTAGGGATAACCAGGGATAAAACATCTCCCTGTGATAACTGCGATCTGATGAAGGCTGATAAGCGTCATACCTCGGTCTCCCTCTGTCTTTGCACCATGTTTGCCAGAGTCGTGATGTGCTGCAGTTTAATAAAAGTGGCAGATACACGATTATCTTGGCCGGCCAAGGGGGAGACACTATGAAATGGGGCCCCATATTGTCTTGCCGCTCCCAGACCTATATGTCCGAATTCACAAAGGAGGTTTGTCGACAATTATGACTCTCATAAACCTAAGTTTGTCGACAAACCTCCTTTGTGAATTCGGGCCATAGTGTTTACAATTTAGTATTGTATATCTTTTATGACTACCCCTCCCCCTCTCTCCCTCCCCCCCACACACACTCCCACAAGATCTTTTCCGATGTGTTAATTTATAGTTTCATCGTGTTTATTTATTACTCTAAGCTTCAAAACGTATAAATGCTGGGTGATTCCGACCCGAATTCGCTAACAAACAGTGGCATCATTGATTCCTAACGCTGTGGATATTGGAGGTGAACATACCTTACGGGACTTCAGATTTGTAAAATAAAGTGGTGTGTTTTTGAGGTCATGTGGGTGGGTTTTGGTGGGGTCCCCGATGATGTATTATAAGGCCCAAATGTTCTTACTTTTTATCGGAAATTAAATGGATTTGTCACTGCATAACCAATGAGTTTGGGATCCCTTAAACTGAGAAAAATTTGATATTCGGAATCCCAATGTATGTATATTAGGCCTATGATGCTCACAAGTTCTTAATTTAGGATAAGTAACTATGTGATAACTTGGAAAATGTTGAGTTTTATAAAATCCCCGGAAATTCTCATTTTACAGATCAATGTTCACATAATGTTGTTTGCACGTTGCCTTCTTTTTCCAATGTCTTTCATTTCCCAGCTTGCTACTTGGTTTGATTTATGTTACATAACTTATTATGTATAATATCGATATAATTTGTAATTATTATCTGAACATGACATGTGTATGAGTATATAATGGGCAAGGAAGACTCGGTGGGCTGCATGATGTGTGTGTTATTATTATACTCTCTTCATCATGTTTCTACCATAACTCTGTATTGATTATTGTTTTATACTGTCGCTGATGTTATTGCTGATCCTGAATAACATTAAATGAAATATACCTGTGTATATAATATATGACTTAAACTTTATAATACACGAGACTTGTTTTCTTGTCAGCTTTTTTGGGGCTGATTCTGATTCCTATATTACTGATTGTAAGGTGATTTCCACTCTTTTGTACTATCACAATGTCATTTATTCTTATTCGTAGTCTTTATAAGCAAGCATATATATTTATCAAAGTTTCTTCCATGATACCTGATTTATTGAATATTCATCTTTTTCTTTATCATGTTTATTATGTCAATTATATATACTTTCATTCAATGTCAAAGATTTTATTAATCGATTAATAAAGATATTAAGGGAGAGCGAGGTAGAGGTGGAACGAAGTCAACAACTTAAGTCATTTCGACATTGTAAAGAAACCTGTACCAGAATGCATTCCCTATCCACACAAGTAGAAGGGAGGGGGAGGTTTGGATAATTCTAAGTCGTGTTTTAATAAAACGAAAACTCAACATTCCAATTCTGTATAAATATATGTTGAGAAATATGAAACTCATTATTTGTTATATTTATAAACAAAATATTCAGTCTTTTTCTGGTTTTGGGGTTGAAATAACTGTGTGGTGCAGTTATATCTTTTTATTATGTAATTGTGATATATTTTCTTCCTATACATTGGGAAATAATGAACAATTGAACTGTGTTGTAATTATGTTTGTTTATCAAATGATAACAAAGTTTTGTTGTAATTATTTTGCAGTTTTGTATAAACTATGTTATGAAAAAAAAAAGAAAAAAGAAAGGATTGTATTTTTCATAAATAAAATCAATGAATACAATATTGTAATTGATTGATAATGACCCACTTTATTTCATTGCTAAAATAAATTAAATAACTGAAATCACTCAGCTTTAATTGCAAATGGTGCCTAATGACATAGTTTCTAATTCTGGCTCTTAAATTCTGACCTCAAAGAATTATAAAAACCTAAAGATTTCAGCTAAGAGATATTTTGAGAACTTTACTAAAAATTGGACAACGAGAACGAGAGAAAGAGAAATACAGTTTTACCAAAGTGGCAGGGAAGGAAACAGTCAAATAAGAGAAAATACGGAGAAGAGATGGAGAGAAGGAGGGGAGCAGAACAAGAACAGGGGGCAGATTAAACAAGTTTAGTTGAAATAGTTTGGGTGGCTTAAAAGAAAACTTACATCGTTCGTAGAATGAAGGAAGGTGATATACAGAACAGGGGAGAGAACGAGAGATCTGTTTGAGAGGGAGGATGAGAAAGAGAGGGACAGAGAGAGAGAGAGAGACATTGAGAGAGAGAAAGAGAGAGACAGAGTGAGAGAGAGAGAGTGTGTGAGAGAGAGAGAGGGGGGGGGGGACATAAGAGAGGGATAGGTTGGCAGCATATCATTTGAGAAATCCTTTTGTTCTCGACATATCATATCCTGTTAAAGAACTGTCAAGATCTATAATTATGATGTTCCTATCAATCGTTTCTATGAATTTAGTTTAAAGATTTCGTCTTTTTGATCTGGTAAGAAGTAGAGAGCGGATAATTAATATTCGAAAGTTATACATTTACATTATTTATGGTAAAGGATCTTGATGAAGAGAACCTAATAGAACAGGAGAACACCATCTATTGCGTGAAACAACAGACTCATTCTAGAACGCTGTATCATGTTAAAGAGCGCCCCCTTGTGCTGTTCTGATCAACGTCACTCACTTGTAACTTTATTTGATTTGTGTGAACATCACAGAAATGAAATAAAACGGCATTAAATCACACGAAAATAGAATGATCGTGTGTATTCTAGCAGCTTATGTGCAACAGCAATAATGGCCAAACTAGCAAAAAGAACAATAGAAACACCATTCGCAATGGACCAAGATATACCTCATATCTCTCTCTCTCCGTTTCTCTCTCTCTTTCTCTCTCCCCTCCCCCCTCTCTCTCTCTCTCTCTCTCTCTCCCTCTCTCCCTCCCCCTCTCTATCTCTATTTCTGCTATGCACATGTAAATATGTTTGTTCCCATCTAGTACTACATCGCTACAAGGAATTATTTTGAAGCGTAAATGATTTGCCATCATCCGAGGGCGTCCTCGTAAACTCAGAATCAGAGCCATTTATACACAGAGCTCGGCCAATCCGGCTCGAGTTGGACACAATATGTCGACTGCTGCTTTGTTGGGCAAGCACAAAACACAGAATATACGCCATGTTGTGACCCAGCGAAACCAAGTTGATTGATATTTAGTTCGGCCATGTGGAGCACAAAATATAGAGCTCAAGTTGCTATGTTAGGCAAGGACACAACAAATATTATAATGACCGACAGGGTGTGTCCAGTTGCCAGCTGAAACCGAGTGGGTCATTTTACTTTTGCGTCACGGTGGCGATGACATTAATCTACATTTACCACACGAGGTAAATGGGTACCTGGTAGGATTATTCCTTGAAATGCACTGTGCGCTGATAACGGCTGCCGAAGCTGATTCTAGGGTAATAGTTTCCAAAGCTCTTTGGAAGCGCATAGAGATGTTTTTCATAACGTATTATGCGCTATACTAGAACTGAGTATTATTATCATTATTATTTACCAGGTGTTAAATGGGTAACGGTAGGAAAGAATTCATTGAATGCTGTGGGTGCCGAAATCGGTAGCCTAGTAGAGCCGGGGTAATATTGGAGCGCATTGGGTACCTTGCAATTTATCCAATACTAGTATTATTATTACATTTCTCTTTGTAGTTACTATGTGCACATGTACTATGTACACGTATGCCGGAATGAATTCAATCAAAGTATAATTTTCATGAAAAGCGCATAGTAGGCCTAGTTCGTTCACAATAATTGTTAGTTTTCGTTTTTGTTTTTTCCCTTCTTCTTTCTGGGACGCACTGTTTAGCTCAAGATTAATTCCGACTGTTGAGCCAATAGTAAATTTACTTATAAATCAAACTACATACTTCTTTTTCCAAATTGAAGAGATGTGTATTGAGCGTTTTTTTAAAATAAAGTTCCCATGGTAGAGCTGCCAGTATAAATCATGGAAGGTTTAGTGATACATAGATGTCACCATGCTACGATTGACACGAGATTTGGAGCCTAAATGGTTTATAATGATTGGATAAAATACAATCATTATGATGTATGGACACCAAAGAATTTTCTTAGTGATCGATTTGACCGGAATCTCACAGGATTCGAACCTGTCCCATGACATCAACAAATTGTGTTTATTTAATCACATGACAGAGATTTGATATTGTTATTCTCATATTTCGCAGTTTTTCCATTTTAACTAACATTATTTTTTGTAAGGAATATATAGGAGCGTTGTACCCTACTCTTGTGTTAAGGACATTTTCGGCAGCAAACCTATGAACATATTTTGAAGAGAATGCGTTTCATTTCAGGCCTCTATTATAGTCTGTAATCACAACGACAAGAAACATATTGAATACAGTAAATTGGTTTAATCCTCACAGAGAAATACATGTAGACTATTCAAATTTGTTTTCTAACAATTTTCTCTTCCTTAACCCCCCCCCCCCTCCCTCCCTCTCTCCCTTCTGATTCACTTTAATATACATGCACATGTTGCCCTTGTCCACATTCCTCTCAAATATTGTTACCATGATTAGAAATATCTTTCTGGTTTGAGAATTTTCTTCAGGATTATTTGCATGATGGGGAGTTAGTAAAGTAGATGGAATATAATAAGTAACATTTAATACACAAATTACGCAGTTTTTTCATCAACCTTCAACAACCATTCACTTTAACATAAAGGCATTATGGTGGATTTGTGCCATTGAGCGTAGTAAATCTGAAATATAAATGTTAACCAATTAATTTATTACTGTGTTCTTTCATTG